AAGGGGTCGGCATCCTCTCCTTTTTCCCGTTCACAGCAGGGGAGGGATTCTCTGATTTTGGGCGGTGGATTAGGGTTGGGAGGTGAGGGAGGAAGACAAGACAGGGACCATCCGATCAGTGCTACATCGGATGATCAAGATGAGACCATAGGGGGGAAGAGGGAACAAAGGGAGGTTGAAATTATGGATTCCAAGAAGGAGGGGAATGTCCTATGTGTCGATTCCCTAAAAAAGTTGATATTAGAATGCTTAGCTGAAGCCTAGATGGTGTCAAGGGGGAGGGGTGTAGTCAGAGGGGGGTGGATCCAAAAGAAGGTGTTTCTTTGGGCATTGAGGAGGTCGCGGGTATTTTGGAGCAGAACCAAGGCCCTGTCACCCCACACCTGACTCTTAAAGTGGGTCCGGGTGTGATCCAAACCTCAAAAGCCACCAGTGACCAAGAGCCTTTAACCGACTGTCGGTTTTGGTTGGATCGAACTGGCTAACCCAACCCACTAAGAGTTTTAAGGAATCTTGGCACTATTCGGCACCAGGGACGGGAGCCGATAGAAATTTTCCTGCTGAGCTGCCAAAAGTGGGAAGACTGGCCGCTGTACCTGTTCAAGACATGGAGTCGAGTCTGCCGGCATGAGTCATTGACAAGAGCTTCTCCCCAACTTCCCATTGTACAATAGGATGAGAGCTTGGTTGAAGTTACTCCTCTAGCGATTGTGGATGTTGATAGGTGCAGGGGTGATCATACTGGCCTACACAAGGTGAGGAAGAAGGTATCTGCTCACCTAGCCCTCTGCAACATACTGGTACCTTGTTGGTGGTGAAGGAGAAATCAGGTATGAACTCTGTTGGGCCTTCGAAAGCAAATAGGTCAGGTAACAAATTGTTGCCTTCCCCATCGGCATGGGTTAATTCTAAATTTATGGAGTTGGGAAGATTTCTGGGGGTGTCAATGGAGGGTGTGGAGGAGGACACAGTGAAATACTTGGAGACCGTGGAACAGAGGGTGTTAATGGAGAGGGTGAAGCTAACAGAAAAAAAGGGGGTAACACTGCAATAAAGAGTCGGGAGATGCTGAGACTAACTTGGGGTCTAAATGTTAGAGCGGGGAGCTGTGACGGAGGATTGAGGGGTGGGAAGAAATTCTAAGAAGGGGGTGCCAGAGGTCTTCTTTCTATTTTTCCTCAGTGTTTGATGGAGTTGAACTTTCTGTCATGGAATGTTAGGGGGTTGGGATCGGGAAGGAGGTTGGTGGTTTGTGAAGTGCTCAAAAACTCTTACTTGCAGGTGATCCTCATTCAGGAATCGAAGCTTGATTTTCTGGATGCTACCATTATTCGGAGTAACTGGGGTGCTGGTCAGGTTAAATGGCTGGCCAAACCTTCAGTTGGGAGTGCAGGGGGGCTGATATCCATGTGGGACCCAATGAAGTGTTCCTTAGTTTCTCACTCAATCAGCAACTTCTCTTTAATGGTGATCTTGGAGCTGGAAGGAGGAAGGATATGCCAAGTCACGAATGTTTATGGTCCTACTGACTCAAACCAAAGAACTGAGTTCTGGGATGAGTTGGCTAGGATCAGAAGGCTGTCTCCTCATTCTTGGGTGACCGGAGGTGATTTCAATGTGATTTTATCAACTGAAGAAAAGAATTCTGGTGGGAGAAGATCAAGGGCAATGGATATCTTTGCCGACTTCATTAATAGATTTGATCTAATGGATCTACCGCTTTAAGGGGCTAAGTTTACCTGGAAAAATAATCAAGACAACCCAACTTTGGTAAGGCTGGACAGATTCTTGGTGTCTTTGGATTGGGATGATTTGTTCCCTTCTTTCAAACAATTGGCTCTACCTAGACATGTATCAGATCATTGCCCTATCCAGCTCAGTTGTGGACATCATGGTAGGTGCAAAACACCTTTTAAGTGCGAGAATGCCTGGTTTGAGGATGAGAGCTTTATCTCTATGTTGGCAAAGGAGTGGGGGGAGTGTCAAGTCAATGGTACCAAGCTCTTTCATCTTAGCGAAGAAGATGAAGGCAATTAAAGAGAGAGCCAAAATTTGGAGACTAGAAAATAACTTGGCTATGGAGACAGAAAAAAGGGTGTGTCTAAGTGTTATTGAAGATATTGATAGGGCCGAAGAAGTTGGTCCCTTAACCCAAGAACAAAAGACAAAAAAATGTCAGGCTAAAACTACTTTTGACAAGCTCACAGTGAGGGATGAAATAAGATGGAGACAAAGAGCCAAAACCACTTGGCTGAAAGTGGGTGATAAAAATACTAGTTTCTTTCATAAAATGGCAAATGCCTGTTGCAGAGTTAAAGAAATCAGTAAGTTGGAATGAGAGGGTGTGGTGGGAGAGTCAAATGCTGAAATCAAACTTATTGCCTCTTCTTTTCACAAGCAGCTCTATGAAGACCCTTGGGCTAATAGACTCTTCCCCCTCCACACCCCCTTTAGAAGACTTACTGAAGATCAGAAAGCTCGTCTTGAGATTCCTTTTACTGAGGAGGAAGTAAAGGAGGTGATCAGTCAGTTGGAAAATGAAAAATCTCCTGGTCCAGATGGGTGGACAAATCCGTTTTATGTAAAATGCTGGGACTTTATAAAGCAAGATATCATGGAGGTGTTTCAGTCCTTTCACAATAGTGAAACTTTACAAAGAAGCCTAAACTCCACTTTCATTACTCTCATCCCTAAAATATCTGGGGCTGTTGGCCCATTAGCCTCCTCAAAAGCTTCTACAAAATACTGGCAAAAGTGTTGGTAAAGAGGTTGAAAAAGGTTTTGCTTTTTTTGATTTCTGTGAACCAAGATGCCTTTGTTCCTGGGAGGCAGATGTTGAACAGTGTTTTGATTGAGAATGAGCTAATTGATACTAGAAAGAGGATGGGTAAGCCTGGTTTGGTGTGTAAGTTGGATATCAAGAAAGCTTATGACCATGTAAACTGGAAATGTCTGGACTTTATCCTTGGGAAAATGAATTTTGGTTGTAAATGGAGGAACTGGATGAAAGTGTGTGTGTCTTCTCCTAAATTTTCAGTCTTAATCAATGGGCAAGTATTGGAATTCTTTGAGAGTTCTAGGGGAATTAGGCAAGGGGATCCTCTCTCCCCTTTGCTTTTCATCTGCCTTATGGATGTCTTTACTCAGTTCAGTAAGATGGCTGTGGGAGGCATGTGGGATGGCTTTGAGATCTCACCAGGAGGGGAGAAGGTTCATCTTCTCCAATTTGCAGATGACACTTTATGTTTTATTGACTCTTCGGCTGAGCAGCTTGAATCTATGTGGGGGCTCTGCCCCCACATCCCCAGTTGTTATGCTTCCACCACAAACCACTATGAAAATTTTCCTTTGGGTTTTTCTCAACTTGATTTGGAGTGGGTCAAGAAGCGAATCACAAACAAAAAACTCAAGGAACAAACACAACAGAAAGCTATAATAACAGTTATTCCATCATATTGTATGTCAAATTTTCTTGTTCCCAAAAAGGTCTGTGAAGAGTTGAAAAAATCCCAAAGAGGAAGTCCAAGGAAAGAGAAGATGGTTAACTGGGTAAGCTGACATCACCTAAAGCAAGAGTAAATTGGCTGATGGTATGGGTTCTAGGGATGCAGCTAGTTTCAACAAGACTATTGACCAAGTTTACTTGGAGGTTAGCTTAGGGTGAAGACAGCCTTTGGACAAAGGTTATTAAAGATAAGTACATGAAAAACAAAAATTTCTTGAGGCATAACTTCTCTAGTCAAGATTACTGGGGTTGGAAAAGCATCCTTGCTGGCAAAGAGGTTTAGCTAGAAGGACCTTGTTGGGGGTATTGCTTCAGCCTTCAGGTAGAGTGTTAATATGGGAATATGGGATGAGCTTTGGACTACAGGGTTGGAAGGTTTCCAGCTCATTGAGCCTCAAGCTGTTGTTCTGAATATATCCATGGTTAGTGATTTGATCATTGCAGGTGAGAGGAAATGGAACACTAATTTAATCAATGAACTCTTCCTTCCTATTTTTGCTGAGAAAATCTAGAAATAAACATGTCTTCATATGAGTAGGAAGATTAGTTATTTTGGATGCCTAATCTGAAAGGTATATTTACAGTCAAGTCTGCTTATTTTGTAGCAAATAAAATTATTCCAGGATGTTTGCCTATGCAGGTCAGCATGTAAAATGATAAGAATTTATGGAGTGCCATTTGGTCTTCATCAATGGTGCCAAAGATAAAGAATTTTCTGTGGAACCTGGTGAAAAAGAAGATTCATAATAAGCTTTCATGCCACATATGTGGTAAGGTAGAGGAATCTATCATACATGCCTTGGTGAATTGTGAGTTTGTGATCATGCTAGATGCATATGGGTTGACTCAAACATTGGGTTTAAGCCAGTCTCTGTTGACCACAATACCAGTTCCAAGACTGGTTCTGTTCTTGGATTAAAGAATGTAACAGTTCTAAAGAGGAAAATCTATTATTCTTATGATCTCAGCCCTGCCCCTTCGAATATTTGGATAGAAACAAATAATGTGGTTTCTAATGATGTTGAGCCTAACCCCTATGCCTATCATTTGCAGGGTGAACAGGATGTCTATGAAGAATCTGGAGATGATGGGATGCTATCACCAAAAGCTTCCCTCTCTGATTGCAGCTGTAGTCCATGACTTCAGGGGGTCATGCTTAGCAGTTTTTTGTGGTAAGTGCAATGCCATTTTCCCCTTGCAGGATGAAGCTTCTGTGATTTTTGAGGGTATCAATCTGGCTAGAGCACTAAAGTTGAATGAGGTGGAGGTGGAGAGTGATTGCCTTAAGAGACTGGGTGCTGGCAGCCATAGAGATGTGGTCAAATCCAAGACATCCTCAGGTTAAGAAAGGAGATGGTGATCTCCTTCTCTTTTGTGAGTAGATTGGGGAATAGAGCTGCTCACCAAGCAGCTAATTGGTTGATGAAGAATATTTTACTTTAGGATCATGTTCCGTTGTGGTTCGCTAAGGAATAAAAACCGACAAACAGACCAACTAAAACAAAGCAGCAACAACAGAATAAAACCACAAGACACAGACCTAAAAAACAAAAGCAATTGAAGAGCCTAAAAATCCATAATTCGCAGTAAATTCCTTGAGTTTTCAAAAAACAGCAAGTTACCCAAATGGTTCACATTAAATCTCACTTTTGAGCCTCTTACCCCATTCACTTCTACATTAGCTATTGTACTAAAATTACTCGTTAGTCTCAGTATATAGAAAGATAATGAATCTATACCTGTGAATCCTCACTCCCACTGGCAATAAAAGCTTGGTTAAATCCACCAAAGCAGGACCTAATGACTAATCGAGTGCGTTTATGACCCTTGTACTTGGCAATGAGCTTAGGATCACCTTCAATGCTCCAAAGATGGATTTCTTGGTTTAGAAGATTAATAAGTACAAAATTACTGTCCCTGGATAACGAAAAGGAAGTTATGGGTTGAACCTCTTTAATCAATTTCTCAACTTTTGCTTCCCTGTCAAGTAGCAGGACTGCAGTTTCTTGACACACGGTAATAATCTCCTTTCCATCATTTGTGATGGCTAAGTCTGAAATCTTTAGTGTCCGCTGTCCCTTCCAGCATTCCAACTCTTTCCCATCCAAATCCCACATGCAAATGCTCTTGTCAGATACACCAGAGAATACATGTTTCCCATCTGGAGACCATCCACAGGAGATCAATCCATGACGAGCTTTTTCATAAACAAGGAGGCATTCACCAGAGCTTACATCCCAGCATCTGATAACCTCTTCCATTCCACAGGTGAGGAGTTTGCAGTCATCAGGACTCCAAGACACAGTCAACACTGGCTTCCGGTGACCTTCTAGTTTGTGTTTCAAGGACATTCCACCCTCATTAACCTGAAATATTGCTTCTGTTAGGATACTGGGTAGCAGAAGTTAATGGTGAAACTAGATGAAATAACAAAAGAGGTAGAATAGTATATACTTCTATTAACAAAAATAGCACAAAACAAAGAAAACTTTTACTGCAGTAGTATGATAAATAAGATATTTTTTTATCAATAATTGAATTTTATTATTAAGCTTTATATCATATCTTTACAAGCATCCCTTAGAGAGGCACAAGCTGCTACCTCTCATGCATAAAAAGAAATCACATTACAAATGTGCCCTGAACAAAATAGACCTCTCCATCCCTTGCTTAGCCAAAGCATCTGCCATCCCATTTGGGAAAACAACTCCAAAGTTTTGATCCAGTGGATCACCCTAACCATCACACAAATCCTGATTTCTTCCTTGCTTCTCTGCTTTTCTAAGAATATTCTTGCATTCCTCTCCTCCAAGATGGTCCAAATCAAGGTTGCTCTGACACATCTCCACATTATCCTCCCACTTTTCTTTGGCCACGTAAATAGAGAGGGATCAAATAACATATTAACCTCCATTGGTAAAGTCCACCTACACCCAAACAAAGAAAAAAACCAAAGCCAAATATCTGCAACAAAAAGACAGGAAATCAATAAATCATGACAACTCTCATTACTGGATTTGCATAAGACACACCAGTTAGCGAAGAGACAGGAATTAGGTCTTCTCTTTTGTAGCAAGTCCATAGTATTTATCTTCCAATGAACTACTTCCCAGCAAAAAACTCTTACTTTGGGTGGAATGGGTCTACACCAAAACTCTTTAAAGGGAAAGGAAGAAGCTGAAGAATCACAAAAGGTCTTGACCAAAGAAACACAAGAAAACAAACCCTTGGGGTTGGGGTCCAAATATGCTTATCAGGTTTACCGAGGTCCAAGCAAACCTCATGAAGGAGTTGTAGAAGATCAGCACAAGCGAAGAGTTCGTTATCCAAAAGACCTCTACGGAATTGGAGTCCTAACTAAGGCCCACTAGGTGTATTGGAGGAACAACAAATCTTGAGACACTCATTTTTGTACAAAGAAACCAAGAATATATGGAGGGGAAAAGCTCCTTTAATGGACAAGAACCAACCCAAGTATCCTCCCAAAATTTAACAGAAGCCCCAGAGCAAACAACGTACCTGACGAAACGAAGAAAGAGAGGCAGAATGCTATGAACTGCTTTCTAAGGTGAGGCTAGAGTAACTCTGGTAGATACACCTGCACCCCAACCTTCCATGAATGCTAGCTATTACTTCATGCCACAGTCTGCCACTTTCCATCGGCCACCTCCAAATCCATTTCCATAGCAGAGTCCTGTTCTTTTTATCCACACTACCAATCCCCAACCCTCCTTGTTGAAGATTCCTACACACAACCTCCCATTTAACCAGATGACCCTTCCTTCCATCACCCGACTCCCACAAAAAGTCCAAAATCTTTTCAATTTTCTTGGATTCTTTTTGGGGGATTCTAAAAACTGATAGGAAATAGATTGGCAGGTTAGCAAGTGTGGATTTAATCAGAGTAATCATTCCTCCTAAAGAAACATGTAGTCGTATGAGACTACTAACAGTCCAAGCTGTGGTGTATAATCAACAGGAAATTAAGAAGATGAGAGGAGAGAATGAGAGGAGAAAGAGAGAAGAGAAGACGAATTCGAATGAAGGGTTTCAGAAAGGAAGAGGATGCTTAATCTGTCGCCCCCCTCTTTCTATTTATATTAGTTCTGAAGTAAGGATAAGACTGCTTACATGGCAAAAATAAATCCTAATAAAAGACTAACAACTAATTGTGGACTGACTTAAATAACTAATAGCTGTATACGAGTACAATAGAAAGAGGTGGGGACCACATCAGTGGTTTCTACACTCCCCCTCAAGTTGGGAATAGATGTTTGTCATTCCCAACTTGCATAGATCTGCTTCTAACTTCTTCTTTGAAATTGCCTTGGTGAGAAGATCAGTAAGCTGCATGTTGGAGCTGATATATGGAAGACAGACTTCTTGAGATGCAACCCTTTCCTTAATAAAATGTCGATCCACTTCAATGTGCTTGGTTCTGTCATGTTGTACCGGGTAATGAGTTATATTAATAGCAGCCGGATTATCACAGTACAACATTAGAGGTTTCTCATAGGTAATACCCAATTAATCAAACAATGATTTCAACCATAGTTTTTCAGCCACACCATTTGCCATGGACCGATATTCAACTTCAGCACTGGAACGAAAAACAACATTTTGTTTCTTACTCCTCCAAGAAACAAGGTTACCTCCTACAAAGGCACAATATCCAGAGGTAGACCTTTTATCATCAACACAACCAGCCCAATCTACATCTGTGTAAACTTCTATCTTCACGTGATTATTATCCTTAAATAGTACACCTATGCCTAGACACCTCTTTAAATATGCCAATAGCCTCTCAACAGCAAGTAGGTGGGTAGTTCTAGGAGAGTGCATATATTGACTAACAACACTGACTACATAGTTGATGTCTAGTCGTGTAAGACAAAGATAGAGTAGTTTCCCAACTAATCTTTGGAACATAGCTTTATCTTCAAGAGGCTCTCCACCTTCTGCACTAATCTTGTGATTCTRTTCAATAGGTRTATYRGCTGGYTTAACACCCAACTTTCCTGTTTCTTCTAACAAATCAAGGACATACTTCCTTTGAGAAACAAAGATTCCATGCTTGGACCGAGCTACCTCAATACCCAAGAAATATCGTAGCTCTCCCAAGTCTTTTACCTCAAATTCTTGATGGAGAGGTTTCTTAAGAGACTCAATTTCACTGTTATCACTCCCTGTTACTACAATGTCATTCACATATACAACAAGTAGAGTCAAGGAAGTATCCACTTTCTTAATAAACAAAGTGTGATCTGATTGAGCCTACACATAGCCAAACTTTTCAAGGGCTTGTCTGAATCTATCAAACCAAGCTCTGGGGGACTGTTTTAGTCCATACAAAGCTTTATTCAGCTGGAAAACCTTTTTACCTGTCTCGGTACTATAAAAACCAGGTGGTAACTACATGTACACTTCTTTTTGCAAGTCTCCATTGAGGAAGGCATTTTTAACATCCATTTGGATCAAGGGCCAAGAGTAACTGGCTGCAAGAGATAATAACACTCTAATAGTGGTCATTTTTGCTACTGGTGCGAAAGTCTCCAAGTAATCTATACCATAAGTCTGAGTAAATCCCTTTGCAACTAACCGGGCCTTATACCTTTCAATGGAACCATCAGCATTATGTTTCATAGTAAACACCCATTTACATTCAACTGGTTTCTTCCCTTTGGGTTGATCAACTAGCTCCTACGTATTGTTTCTCAGAAGGGAATCCATTTCTACCTTCATTGCATCATTCCACTCAGGAATGGTCAAGGCTTCCTATACTGTTCTGGGAATGGGAATATCAGCAATGGATGTAAGAAAGGACTTGTAAGAGGGAGAAAGATGATCATAGGACAAGAATTGTGAGATACAGTGGGTTGTGGGTGAGGTGCAACGGCGTTTTCCTTTATGGACTGCAATGGGAAGGTCAAGGTCATTCAATGGAAGTGAGGGCTCAGAAGATGGAGAAGGCTCAATAGCAGAAGGCTCATCTGTAATGGAAGCTGGAAGAGATGTAGTACCTGGATCTAGATCCTCAGAAGGAATTGGGGCTGGCCTGGACTGCTGATGACCGAAATCAACCTGCCTCCACCGTCTGTGATAAACTCTCAAATCCCGACATTTTTGACAACCCTCCCCATTACACCCCTCTTCACTCAATGGAACAGGTAAAGGGACTTCTGATGTGTTAACCCCAACCTTACTACTCCCCCCTGAGAAGAAACTCTGGAGTAATAAGGTACATCCTCAAAGAAAGTAACATCAATGGATACAAATCTCTTTCCCGAAGTAGGTTCATAGCAGCAGTATCCCTTTTGAGTTTGTGCATAACCAAGGAAAATACATTTTGAGGCTTTAGGGTCAAATTTGGAACGGTGAGGGCCAAGAGTTTGCACGAAGCAGGTACAACCAAAGGTTTTAAGAGGGACAAAAAACAACTCTTTATCAAGATATAAAAGGGTGAATGGAGGTTTCATGTCAAGAACCCGTAAAGGGATTCAGTTGATGAGATACACAGCTGTGAGAATGGCATCTCCCCAAAAATTTATAGGCACATTGGAGTTAAATATGATACTTCTACCTACTTCCAATATGTGCCTATTCTTTCTCTCAGCCACCCATTCTGCTGAGGGGTATGAGAGCAGGTACTCTGATGGATAATCCCATGGTCAAGAAAATAAGAGGCTAGTGATGTTTTAAAGTATTCTCTCACATTATCGGATTTGAAAATTTTGATTTTTACCCCAAACTGGGTTAAAATCATATGATGAAAGGTTTGGGTCAGGGTAGGAACCTCATCTCGAGAATGCATCAAATAGACCCAAGAAAACCAGGTGTAGTCATCAACAAACAGCAAGGAGTATCTGTACTCCCCCATAGCAGTGATGTGATATGGTCCCCAAACATCAGTATGCACAATGTCAAAAGGAACATTACTTCTCTTATTACTTAATGAATAGGTTGTTCTATAATGCTTTGCAAGCTCACAACTTTCACACTTTAAACTGGACATCTGGATAGATTCAAATAAACTAGGAAACAAGCTTTTCAAGGACCTAAAGGATAAATGACCCAATCAGTTATGCCAAAGCATGACTTGACCAATAGACTGAGAAACAAAAAACCCTCTAACTTCACTATCTTACCACTGTGAACTTCCTCCAAGTAAATAGATTTCATTTGTCTCACAGCCAGTCCCAATCACATTCCTTGTCTCCAAGTCCTAAAAATCACATCGATCGGGAAAAAAAGTTACTGAGCAATCCTGGTTTTTAGTAATGCTACTAATTGAAAGTAAATTGGTGCTAAGTTTAGGAACATGCAGAACAGAAGACAGGGAAATGGCACTAGACAACTTGATATCTCCCTTGCTAGAAATGGGAACAAGTGATCCATCAACAATAGACACCTTGCCTTTACCAGAGGATAAGTGATAGGTAGTAAATAGTGAAGGCAAACCAGTCATATGATCAGATGCACCTAAGTCTACTACCCAACAATGTTCAGTGTTACCTGGAGCTGGAGCATGATAAGATGAGGCCCGTGTACCTGAATGAGCAAATGCTGAGGTGGGAGGAGCTGATGTTGTGACTGGCTGAGATGATGATGTTGAATTACCAACCTCCTTTTCCAACTGAGTCAAGGCAGCTTGGACAGCAACTAGAGTGTCTAGTGATGTTGCTCTTGTGCCTGATGAGGTTGCACAATCAGTAGTAACAGCTGTATTAGCATTCCCCTTTTCTTCCTTCTTCATATCTCTCTCCTTATCCCCTCCAAACTTGGGTTTAGTTGCTGCCAAGGCTGATTCAAGTAGCAAATGTCGTAACATAACTTTCCTTCTACTTTCTTCACTATGCACTAGAGAGTAAGCTTGTAATAGGGTCACACTGTCTCTTATTAGAAGTTGTTGTTTCAGAATGTCATACTCAAAATTCAGACCAGCTAGAAACTCAAATACCCTATTGGTTTGAACCTGCTTTATGTAGGTCTGTGCATCCTTTTGGCTTTCCGACTCAATTGTTTCTAAGTGATCAATCTCATGCCACAAGGATTTCAAGGTGGAAAAATAAAACGAGACTGACTTCTCTCCTTGCTTAAGGTTATTTACCTTACATTTTAGCTCATTGGCCCTAGCAACATTGAGAGGTTGGGAGTAGGTTTCTTTCATGATATCCCAAATTTCTTTAGCTGTTTTTGCCCATAAATAATTTCGACTGATATGTGGCTGCATGGAGTTACATAGCCATGTCATAACCAAATAGTTCTTCTGAACCCATTTGGTATATATTTGGTCCTCCATGGCTGGTTCCTTGACATCTCCCAGTAAATAACTTAGCTTTCCTCTACCTCCAATAGCCATCATGGCTGATTGGGCCCACTCTAGGTAGTTTGACCCATCAAATTTTACAGTGGTAATCTGAAAATTGTTCTCAGGTATGCTACCAGCACCACTAGCCCCTAAAAGGTTTTCCCCTTGGCTCTTAAACTCCATTCTTTGTCAAGAAAAGATTAAAGAATGCCTCTTGTATCTCTAAGACTGGGTAATCTCACCCAAAATTTGTTAACAGCCAAATCTACTTTATCCTTCAAGGTCAACAATCCACCCAAAAAGGTAACCTTCCAAGAACAACTTAGAGTGCAGGGCTGAAACTAATTGCAGCCCTAGAATTGGCGACAGTCAAGAAACTAGAATCTTGAACCTAGAACCAGTCAAAGGTCAAGAAACAAGCCAAGAACACAATCAATGGCTAGAAAAGGGGGGATCTCTCAGCCGCACTTCTTAAAGTAACCAAAAACTATTCTTTTAATGTATCAAGAACAGTTCAGGAGGAAAAAACTTTCAGTCGAACCTTTGAAATAACCAGAAAAGGAATCTTTTAATAGATCAATATCAAAGATTAACATCAGCAAAACTCTGGCCGCAACCTTAAAAAATAAGTCTGAACCCTAATCTTGAGGGTTCTTTTTTCTAACTTTCTAGTCACAACCTTCAAAATCAAGTCTGAACCCTAATCTTGAGGGTTCTTCCTTCTGACTCTTCCTGATTGCTGGTCATCCTCTGATGCCTCACCAACAATCTCCAAGATTCAGATGATGATCCCTTTTGCTGGAAATTTTCCAACCCTAGGAAATTCTTATGCAGCCGGCCATGTTAGACTATCATAAGATTTCCTAGGTTGGCTCTGATACCATGTAGTATGAGACTACTAACAGCCCAAGCTGTGGTGTATAATCAACAGGAAATTAAGAAGATGAGAGGAGAGAATGAGAGGAGAAAGAAAGAAGAAGAGAAGAAGAATTCGAAGGAAGGGTTTCAGAAAAGAAGAGGATGCTTAATCTGCCGCCCCCCTCTTTCTATTTATATTAATTCTGAAGTAAGGATAAGACTGCTTACATGGCAAAAATAAAATCCTAATAAAAGACTAACAACTAATTGTGGACTGACTTAAATAACTAATAGTTGTATACGAGTACAATAGAAAGAGGTGGGGACCACATCAGTTGTTTCTACAAAACATAATTCCTCTTCCAAGCTGCCGGTTTCTTTCCACATCTCTCCATTATGGGGTTCCGGAATCTACTCTCCTTAGGGTTTGCACCTAGAGGAAGTCCTAGGAAGGTCAAAGGCCAACTAGCAATAGGACACTCTAAGATATCTGCAGCAAAGTTCAGTTCCTCTTCCTCCAAGTTGATTCTTGCTATGCAGTTCTTATCAAGGTTGACTTTCAAATTAGATAGAAGCTCAAACTTCTTCACCAACTCCTTCAGATTCCTTACCAAATTTTGCTCTCCACCCTCACAAAAGATTATAATGTCATCAACAAACTATAGATGAGTAATTGGGGTCTTCTTCCAATCTTCCATCCTTTTATTATAGTCTCCTTATCAGCCTTTAAGATCATTCTACTAAAGGCATCCGCTATTAGGGTGAAGAGAAAGGGTGAGAAAGAATCACCTTGCCTCAAACCCCAATGAGCAGGAAAGAAGCCTCTAACAATCCCATTAACGAAAATGGAATAATGGCAAGACTTAACACAACCATAGATCCATTTGCACCATCTCTCCCCAAAACCACAATTTCTCGTCACATCAATAAGGCAGATCCAATCCATCAAATCATAAGCTTTCTCTAGGTCCAACTTGCACACAAAACCTTTCCTTCTTGATCTTTTCAAATCCTCCATACATTCATTAGCAACTGGAGTTTGATCAACTATCTGCCTCCCTTGAATGAAAGCCCCTTGATTTTGAGTGATTGCAGTTGGGAGAACTAATTTTAGTCTCAATGAAAGGACCCTAGCTAAGATATTGTAAATGTAGGTTACTAGGCTGATTGGTTTGAAGTCCTTTGGGTGACTGGTATCTTCTCTTTGGTATAAGAGCTAGAAAGGTCACATTCACTCCTAAACTAATCCTATCATGCTCTACAAATTCATTGAAGACCTCAACCAAGTCATCTTTCACAATTCCCAACAATCTTGGTAAAAAGCCATTGTAAAACCATCTGGCCCTTGGGCTTTGGATCTATCCTTTAAAAATACTACCTTCCGAATTTCCTCTTCTACAAAATCCCTTTCCAACCAATTTGCTAACTCAATCTCCACACAAAGCCACTCAATTCCCTCCGCACTCATTCTCTCATTCAAAGGCCTCCTAAAAATTGATTTGAAATGGTCAACAAAAATCTTAGCAATTTCCTCCTGATTGGTCATCTCCTGCCCTTCTATTTTTAAGTTGGCCACATAATTCTTCCTCCTCCCATTTGCCAAGGCATGAAAGAATTTTGTATTACCATCCCCTTCTTTAATCCACTTGCATCTAGATTTTTGTCTCCAACAAATCTCTTCCCATAAAAGCACTTCTTCCATCTCTTTCTTAATCCTACATCTTAACGCTCTTTCCTCCGCCACTAGAGTCCCCTGGGCTTCTTTCTCATCTAGCTCCTCTAATTTAGATAAGAGAGTGATCTTTTGTTCCTCTAATCTTCCAAACTATTCCCTATTCCATTCCTTAATTCTCTCTCTCAACCTCTTTAATTTTTTGTGAAACCTCACCCCTTTCCACTCCACTCCCCTTAACTCCTTCCACCAATCCTCCACCTTTTTCACAAAGCCTGGATGTGTAAGCCACATGTTTTCAAACCTAAACGAGGTAGGGCCATTTGAAAAGGTTTCGAGACCTAATTTAATAGGATAGTGATCCAAGGTGGCTCTAGGCAAAGCTATCGACACTAGGTTTCCTACATGGGATTTCCATAATTCATTAAAAAGGAATCTCCTTATAGGGGGATTTCCTGAAAATTCGATCAAGTGAATTGGGCTTGCAATAGGGGGATTTCCTTCAATTCACAAGTCCATAAATTCATTGAATCTCCTCATACTAGTAGTGACATGTTGGTTGGGGTTGTTTGTCTTGTTTGAAAACCTCACCACATTAAAATCCCCTACCATACTCCACGACCCATCCCATAAACCCCTAATAGCATAGAATTTCTCCCACGTTTCATTTCTTTCCCGATATCTATTTGGACCATAAACATTGGTAAGTACCCATATGAATCCATCCCTAATGTTTTTGAATTTCAATGAAATTGAGAAGCTCCCTATCAATACCTCCATTGATTCAACCACATCATCCTTCCACATTATCACCATTCCCCCTGAGGCCCCACAAGAAGGAACAAAAGACCATCTAATACCCCTTGAACCCCATATGCTTCTTATCCATTTCCCATCATCCCGATCAGTTTTGTTTCTTGAATCAGCACAATGTTTGGCTTTTCCCTTCTAAGTAAATCTTTTGATAGCTCTCCTTTTCCTCGCAACCCTAGCCCCCTTACATTCCAACTGATTATCTTCATAAAGTTTGCTTAAAACAACCTTGTTAACCTGCTCTTCCCCTAATTTTTCTTTCTGCTCCTTTTACCCCTTCCACTGAACTCAATATCACCTTCAACATCCGACCCTAAACCCCTGAGTCTATCACCATGGGCTCTTAATGGGCCCAACGTTTACACTAAATGGTTCTTGGATCCAACCACCTTATGAAAACCCAAGAACTATGGGCAAATACAAGATTAGCCCATTAGGTATTACCCTCAATGGTCTTACACTTAACCTCTCAGCCTATAATGATCAAACACTGCCCGACAAGAGAGGACCTCTCCCTCGGCTGCAAGGTACAGTGTTGCACTCTCTACTCACATKRWTCCCRGGAATTAAAACATTTTGCAAACATTTTGAAACCATAATATATAAGTATATCTTTATATAAATATATTTTGCAAAACCAAATTTCAAACATATTTGAAATCCACTACCGGCAGTTTTAGGTTTCCATCAGAGAGAGTGCATCCCCGATCAATCCCTTTGTCCGACAAAGGGGCTGATCCTGTCACTATGATCACCCACTCAGATGAATTCTCAGACTGTCCCAACATACTTAGGTTTTGACCCCCTCTAAGGATCTCAGTGATTGGCATATCAAAGACAGCCCAATCCGATACCTAGTGTAGTACCATAATTGAGTATAGAGGTCAAGTGTAACATTCCAGTTTTTCCCATCTATCTCCAAGGTCCAGGGCAATACTAGAATTTGGTCCGGTTCAGGGTTTTAAGAAAACCCACACTGCATGTACCTCAGGTCTCACCCTGGCAGCTGAGACAAGCCACCCCAACCAACTTGGCGGCACATCAGTGTCAGCCTTGGCAAGATAAATCTCTCAAAATCTATCCAATGGCTATGAAGATTATAAACTAACACGAGTTTCATAAGTGTCCAGTTTAAGGGTATTACACAGAAACACACCACAATGACATGAATCAATTATGTATTTTATTCATTTACAATAAATGTCAAAAGATACATCAATCTAATTGGAGCTAAGGGTTTTAAGAAAACCCACACTACATGTACCTCAGGTCTCACCCTAGTAAGGTGGATGACTCAAAAGACATAAAAATAGAAAGTATTAATAGCCCATAAAGGAGGCAAACTACAGCTGAAATAAAACTAATGAATAAAGAAAGAAAACTAAGGCCCACTTGACCCAATCTCTCTACACTCCCCCTTAAGCTAAGCATAGATGTCAATCATGCCCAGCTTGTTTGCATAGAGTTGTTGCTTCACCTTAGGAAATTCCTTGGTCAGAATATCTTCTAGTTGTTCCTCTGAAGTAATGAAAGGAAGACATGCTTCCCCTGAAGCCATTTTCTCCTGTACGAAGTGCCTAACTACATCAATGTTCTTAGTTCTGTCAAGCTGAAGCAAGTTATGAGCAATGTTAGTAGCAACCTGATTATCACAATTCAACATCAAGGGACTATTATAAACAATACCTCATTTCCTTTAGGAGAGATCAGAGCCATAATCCGAAACCCCATGGGCCATAGCCCTATACTCTACCTTAGCTGAAGATCAAGCTACCACAGACTACTTCTTTTGATTTTTTTTTATTGGAAACGATAACTTCATTAATATAACTTAAGAATA